CGGGGGCTGGCAAGGGTGGGGAGGGAAAAGGTGGTTTGAGGAGAGGGGGTGGGGAGGAGGCCTGGACCCTTAGCCTAGATCTTGTCTGTTTGGCCTTCTCAAGTGGCCAGAGCCTGGGTATTGGCATGCCAGGGACCACAAGGGAAGGCTCCCACTTCTCCGGGAACCCCACCATGCCCAGCAGCTCCACTGCTCACCAAATTCCCTCCTGTCTGGCCCCCGCATGAGCTCTCTGAAGGCTAGGTGGTCTGTGCCTCCCTCTCTGCAGGGCGGCCGTGTCTTGGCCTGCAGCAGGTTCCTGGGACCAAGATTAGCCACGCTAAGTTAGGAAAGCCTGGTGCCTTCATGACTCTGCCCAGGGGGATGTCAGACTGGGGCCCCCCTCCCTGACACAGCACCTCTCTCCCCTGCACCCCTGTGGTTGGGGGCTCTGGTACCCTCACTGGCTCAATCTCTAGAGCTGGAGGCCGGCATCTGCACCAGCACCAGTGGGCCATGGTGTCTCCAGGGGGTCCGCTCCTCCCAGCTTGTCCACACGTGGTGAGTTCTTGCTGTGTCCCGACTTGCTGGGCTTTGAGTTTGCAGGATGAGCAAGACCTGCCTTAGCTACCTCGGGGTGCTTGTGATCTAACGTGAAGTGGGGGGGACAAGTGGACAGTGAGCCCTAAACAGCGTGATGTGACTCGGATATCCAATGCATGGGAAGCTGCAGGGGCTGAAGAGGTGGCCACCTCCAGCCTGGAAGAGGGAAGGTCTCTACAGCAGGGACCAGAAAGATGAGCTGAAGCCAGGGAAAGGTGGGGCGCATGCAGGTGTAGAAGTGGGGGTGTCTGTGGCAGAGGGGCCAGTGAAGGCAGAGACTGCAGGTGGAGAGAAATAGCCCAGGGTGTGTGAGGAACTGAATAAGGATGAGCCTAGGGCTCCAGGTCGGGGGAAGGTGGCTCGGGAGGCTGGGCTTGATCCCTGAGGGCGGTGGTGCCACTGTGCCACGTCTCAGACTGAGGTTTAGAGAGTGGCTATGGTGGGGGAGGGAAGGAAAGAGGAGAGGAGGCCCGAGAGTCTTTGGCCAGAGCACCATTGGATGGGGGTGTCATTGATCCCAGATGGAAAGCTGGATTGGGACCAGGGGGGAATGCGTTTCAGATGGCAGGTAGAGTTCGGGTGCTTGTGCGACACTGTAGGAGGGTCTAGCAAGCAGCCAACTGCGGGTCCGCTCCGAGGAGAAATGTGCTGGGGGCACCTCAACTGTGAGAGCCACCCCAGGGCCGTGTGTGAAGACAAGGCTCAGCTAGAAAGAGCCCCAGGGACTCCGTGCAGCGTTCAGTGGATGTCATGACAGGGATGGTGGCAGTGACCTCGGAGAGGGATTTTTGTGGAGTGTGGTGGGAGCAGAAGCCAGATTTTCTGTGGGTTGAGAAGTCAGTGGGAGGTGAGGAGGTGGACACAGCCAGGGAAGACGATTCTTCAAAGAACTGTGACTTCTGGGGAGGAAGGGGGCCAGGCGGCAGCAGCGCGGCTGGGAGGAAGGGGAGACTCATCAGTGGAAGGTTCCTGCCGTGTGTGGACACAGACAGACAGGAGTCAGCAGACTGCAGGGATGGAGAAAGGAGGACAGTCCAGGAGTGGGCTTCTGGGGTGGGCAAGAGGAAGGGGGGTAGCTGCTGGGGTCACAGGAGGGGCCCGCAGAGAGCCAGGTGTGGACACAGGTGGGCTGTGAGTGTGACAGTGGGAAGCTGAGGGCCCCCCCCCTTGCCTTCAGGTTTCCCACTGAAGTGAGAAGGATCACCTGCTCAGACTGAGTCGGGAGCTGAGGGTGCCGAGGAGCGCAGAGGGGGCTTCAACAGGGCCTCTGTGGGGAATGGGAGGGGAGATCACTGGGCGATGGCGGGTGGGAGGTGGGCAGAGTACCTGGCCTGCGGTGTGAGGGTCCAGCTGCAGTCAGGGATGGCGAATCTGCAGTGGTCTTGGGCAGTGGTAGGTTCAAGTGTAGAGACGCTAATTGGCCTTCAGGCAGAGCTTCCACCATTTGGGGCTGGAAGGGCTCCTGGGCCAGGGGATAGCCCAAGTGATGGTCCCTGGCATCCAGGCTGGAGGGGAGAATGTGAAGACAGAGGTAGGGAGGCTGGGGCAAGGGCTCAGTGTTCTTGATACAGGGAGAGGCAGGTGTGAGTGGGGTGCTGGCAGGATGGGGACCATGGGCCCAGGAGGATGGATTTGGGTGGTGACCAGGCCCAGTGTGGGGCCCTGGGAGGAGGGCATCTGCCATGTGGGGGCAAAGTCCTTGGAGATGAGGGGGATGCAGAACTCAGAGGCCAGAGAGTGGGATGATCACCCACGCGGACCAGCTGTCAGGGAGGCCAGGCCTGGGTGGGCCCATGGTGGGAGGAGGAAGATGTGTCACAGGGAGGGGCACGTGGGCGTGGAGGGAGGACAGGGGCAGAGCTGTGGCCCGGGTGGTCCTAACTACTACGCCCACCCTCCTCCTGCCCCTTCCAACCCTCTACGTCTCCTCTCTGTTCTCTCTCTCCTCAGATTGAAACATCCCACTTAGAGCCTGAGATCGCCCAGGCCACGAGCAGCCGGACGGTGGTGTACAACAAGGGGCTGTGAGTGGGGCCAGCGGCCTGGGGGCAGAGCTTTGTCCAGGCCAAGGAGTTGGGGGCAGGGAAGAATTCTCACGGGCTCTACCTGCCAGGGGGCACCCCGCCAGTGCTGGGCCACCTGGGGGAGCACTTCCCCCGCAGTGGTAGGAGACTAACCCATTCACATTTTAACATAGAGGAGAGGAGAGGAGTCCTGGCGTGTTTCCTATAAAAAATAATCAAGTGCATTTCTGGGCCTTACGTGGGGTTGTCACAACTCCACGCAGCACAATGACATGTGAGGCTGAAAAATTGTAGAGTGCCCATGGGGTAGAATTAGGATCCTTTTGTACATTGGTTTCTTTTTTCTTTTCTTTTCTTTCTTTCTTTTTTTTTTTTTTATCAGAATCAAGTGTGAGCCTTGGTTGCAGCTGAGCAGAAATGGCAGGGGGGGCGGGGGGGGGGGGGGAGGGGGATGCAGAACTCAGAGGCCAGAGAGTGGGATGATCACCCACGCGGACCAGCTGTCAGGGAGGCCAGGCCTGGGTGGGCCCATGGTGGGAGGAGGAAGATGTGTCACAGGGAGGGGCACGTGGGCGTGGAGGGAGGACAGGGGCAGAGCTGTGGCCCGGGTGGTCCTAACTACTACGCCCACCCTCCTCCTGCCCCTTCCAACCCTCTACGTCTCCTCTCTGTTCTCTCTCTCCTCAGATTGAAACATCCCACTTAGAGCCTGAGATCGCCCAGGCCACGAGCAGCCGGACGGTGGTGTACAACAAGGGGCTGTGAGTGGGGCCAGCGGCCTGGGGGCAGAGCTTTGTCCAGGCCAAGGAGTTGGGGGCAGGGAAGAATTCTCACGGGCTCTACCTGCCAGGGGGCACCCCGCCAGTGCTGGGCCACCTGGGGGAGCACTTCCCCCGCAGTGGTAGGAGACTAACCCATTCACATTTTAACATAGAGGAGAGGAGAGGAGTCCTGGCGTGTTTCCTATAAAAAATAATCAAGTGCATTTCTGGGCCTTACGTGGGGTTGTCACAACTCCACGCAGCACAATGACATGTGAGGCTGAAAAATTGTAGAGTGCCCATGGGGTAGAATTAGGATCCTTTTGTACATTGGTTTCTTTTTTCTTTTCTTTTCTTTCTTTCTTTTTTTTTTTTTTATCAGAATCAACTGTGAGCCTTGGTTGCAGCTGAGCAGAAATGGCAGGTGGACAGGTGGTGGGGGCCAGCCTGGCCCCGGGTAGTTTGGTGGTTGGGCTGGTAGATTTAGGACATGACAGTGGCCAGACCAGATGGCTCCCAGAGCTGGAACAGGGAGGGGAGGGGAGTTGGTTTGCACCCCACAGGATGAACTCACCATGACCAAGGTCCTCTGCAAGTGGTCCAGGGAATCAAGGAGCACTGGAGGCTTCAGGAAGATTCCATGGGCAGCTGGCTCTGAACGTGGCCAGCCCTCACCCCTGCCACAGTAGCAGGACCAGTTCCACTGAGTGAAGCTCAGTGACAATGGAGCTGGGGTCACCCTTCATGGAGCTCTGACTGATTCAAGTCCCCTGAGGTGACCCAGGCAGACGCCCAAGGAGTAACGACACTTGGCAGGCCTGCACTTGGCCTCTGTGGGACGACCCTCCAGGCTGGACACTGGACATGGGGCTGCGGAGGGGGCCAGCAGCTATTGGGAAGACTCTCTGGGCTGCCTGCCTTGTCCCACTCCTTCCTGAGGAGGAAGGTCTCGTGCCTGAGAGTGCCAAGGCCAGATGCCTAGGCACCCATCCAGGAGGTGGCACCCACCCAGGAATGGTGGGCCCCGACTCTGGCACTAGCGGGCTGTGTGACCTGGGGGGAGTCCATTCCCTTCTCTGAGCCTTCACTCCCTGTCTGGAACCAGAGGACAGGGTCAAGGAGTTCCCACCCGCTCTGCCAGCTAGACCTCAGTGTTGCCTGTCCTGCTCAGATGCTGGTCATCCCAGGCGCGTCCCCACTGTGGACGCTGGACTGGGAGAAGAGCAGGCTCCTTTTGGAATGGCCTCGGAACTTGGGCCTTGCCCTTCTCAAAGGCCCAGGTGTGCTTGACCTTTGCCAAACACTTTGCAGTTCTGGAGGGAGAGGTGGGATGGATGCCTGGGCTTCAGGAGGGGGCCACACCCGCATGCTGCCCTTCACCCCTGCAAGCTGCCGGCCACTGTCTCCCCCTGTGCAGATCAGGAAGGAGGAGGGAGCTCTCCAGAGGAAGCAGGGACTTGGCAGGGGTGAGCAGGGTGACCCCTTATCCCAAATGCCCGAATGAAAGGGAAGTGCTAGCTTCGATGCTCCTCTTGCCCGACCCCAACTAGGATCGAAGCCCTTGACATGCAGCCCCCGGATCTCTCTCCTCTGGCGGCGCCCCCTCGGGAGAGCTGTGGGCCCCAGGTGAACACATGCACATACCGGGCAGCAGGGGCAAGGCACAGGCAGCCTCTCTGCCTCCGAGGACAGGGTGGTTGTGGTGCAATAGGTGCTCCTTGGCATCAACACCACACACCTGCCCAGAAGCCCTGTGTCTTCACCTCTTAGCCAGCCCCTGGTGCCCACCAGCCAGCTCTGTAGGATGTGGGCGTGAGGGGCCTGAGGGGCCCATCACTGTCCCGAGGAGCAGCCCACCCACTGCCCAGCAGGAGAGGGCGAAGGCATAGAAGACCTGGAGGACAAAGCAGCAGGGAGTGAGTGCCTCTCTACAGGAGGGGTGGTATTTTTGAGCCAATCCCACCATAATGTGAATGCGCCAATGACTGCTGGACTGCACTGGTCTGTAGACCTGGACGGGGGCTGGCCATGTCTGGGTCCTCTGTCCCCACCTGTCATAGGGTCTTGTTCTTGTGCACTTTACCTGGGGACCAAAACTGCCTACCCCACCTCCACCCTAGCCCCTCCAGAGGCCTGGCACGGATGGGGGCCTCCAGCCCTCCTCAGTGCTGACGGCCCCAGCCCACCCTGCGGCCTCAGCACTTCATAGCCCACTGGTTTTGCTTCCCGGATGATTTCCATTGTGCTCCCAAGTGCAATTTCAGACAAGCTAAGGGGCTGCTCCTGCGAGAGTGTAATGGCAAAGGATCCTTATAGCTCAGGATGATGGTGACCGAGGGACGGTGGGCCATGCTGCTAAGCTCTGGTCTGGCTTTGGAAAATTCCATGGGGCGAAACTTTGGTCAGCTCTCATGCCCACTCTGCTGAGGCTGACCCAGCTGTGCCATGATACGGGCATGCCTGCAGCTGGTTCCCTAGCCCTGGCTTCCCTGCTCGACCCTCCTCTGGTCACTTCAGACATTCCCTCAGGCTTGGGGATGCCATTTTCCCTTTTCCAGAGGGTGCTGTGAGGGGGCAAGGACCTGAAGCCATGTCAAGATGGCTGCCAAGTCACGGTGGCCGACAACCCCTTTCTACGTCCTGCTGGTGAGCTGGCTTGCTTCCTGTTCTAGACCTCAGGCCTGGGGGAAAGTGGGGGTACTGAGGGCCAGGAGACAGATTCAAGGTGATCTTCCGGCCTTAGGCCAGTGTGAGTGAGGCCACAGCACACATGCCTCGGCCATACCGGGGGACTTTGCAGTGTCTTTTAACCTTCTCAGAAAACGTCTCAGTCTCTGTGATCTCTGTACTACTAACGAGCTGTGGGCAATAAAGGATGGATTTGAGGCATCGGCGTGGCTCTGTGAACTGTGGGTGGGAGAGTAGGGGTACAGAGACAGTGTGAACAAGTACAGGGCTGCCCGAGGAGTTATGGCAAGGTCCCTGAGGAAGATGCAGACCCAGGGTCTAGAATGGGTGGGGCCATCTGGAAGGCCCAGAGGGAAGGAGAGGAGGGTCAAAGACCATGTGAGGGCCAACGCCTGGGCAAAGGGAATGGATGGGGACTCTGCAGAAGGAGCCCTCCCCGCCGCCTTGCAGGGCGGTTACTGTGCGCTCCCTAGGACACCCCTCCAGGACCTTGCGTAATGAGGAATCTGGGTGGATCTCAGACTGTTTAATTCCTGGACTCCTTGGGGCCAGGAGAGGCTTTATAGGAGGGAAGGTTTGAGCCAAGAGGGAAGGTGCTAATGTCTGCAGGGTGAGTGGTACCAACCCTGGAAACCCCCCTTCCTCACTCCTCCACCTTTCCCTTGGGGCCAGGACTAGGTCACCAGGGCTCCTCCTTCCACGCAGGTCCCAGAGTTCCTGAGGAAGGGAGGCGTGGCCTTCTCCAGGACTTTCAAGAATCTTCCCTGCAGAGAGAGATGGGGCAGCATGGCAGGAAGAAAGGCCATCATGGTTGGGGACAGACCCTGGGTCCTGCTCCAGTGTGGCCAGCAGGAGCCTATGACTTCTGGACAGTCACTCCCTTTACCCACTCATTCCGGCAGGTGTTTATCAAGTATCTTCTGAGCTTTGGTGTCATCTATAAAAGCCAAGAACAGCGGCCCTCGCTGGGCTGCGGCAAGGACGAAAAAGCCAGATGAGGAATGTACCCCGACCCCTCTCACACCTCCTGGGTGTGTTCGCTGGGGGGGCTGCAGTCTCCTCTCTTGGGCACTGGGCCTCCCGATGAGGACGTGGGAGGAAGGAAAGGAATGGGGGAGGGGTCTGTTCGCAAAGTGATACCTGCAGGTCAGGGGGCTCCTGATCTCTGGGGAATGTCTTTGCTAAGAGCCCCACAGCCCACAGCCTCCATCCGGGCGGAAATCCTTGACTCTCAGGACAGACACAAATCCCTCCTGGGAGCTGTTTGTTGTTTTAGCTGGTTTGGGGGCTCAGGTCCTGCCCAGCCCAGGAGATCATTAACACTCCAGGAATGTGGCCTC